TCCGTCTCTTTGTTAGGCTTTATTGCTTGCATTCTGTCCCTCTTACGCTGGTCTGTGGCTGTGATAAAGATTTGATTTGATACCGAAGTAAGCATGCAAGCAACATGATTTACTAGCGTCAACTTGGTATAAATGAGATAACATGTCATAAATGGACAGGAATTATGCAAATTCCAAATTTATAAGCATTCCTGAGGAAATGGGCAGCCCTTTGCCTAAATCTGCATCTTATAGAGATTTTACTCTATGTTTGATGCATAGCTATTTCACGAAAAGAAAAGATGCAAAGGATATTGGGTGAAATTAAAAACTAAAGCAACCAAGTTGCAGAAGACGCTAAGAGACTCAACATTTTCAGGCCAAATTCAGTTGCTACCCTAGCAACTGTCTATGTTAACTGCCTGGGAAATAGAAACAAAATTGAACAATGAAAAACAAAGACATTTTGAGTTTGCAAACTAACTAGGAAGATGGCTGACATATAAACTGAGAAAAGGAACAGAAAAGAAAATGATAGAGCAAGTTCAGGAGAGTGAGACTGAATTAACAGATAATGACTTTATTCAGGAGTCTGCTCTGACCTGTATAAGCAACTGGAAGTGGATATGCAAATAATAGACAACTATTTACAAAAACATCTACCAAGGCTTTCACAAAACTATATTTTTATTCTTAAGCAAAAAAGGCAGAATGGTTCTCTGCACACTTACCAGAATAGGAAACAGATCCTTAAAAAATTAGTGAAAAGCAACAGTACAGGTAGTCCTCGACTTTCAACAGTTCATTTAATGACTGTTTGAAGTTACAATGACATTAAAAAAATGACTTGTGATCATTTTTCACTCTTATGACCATTGCAGCATCCCCATGGTGACATAATAAACATTCAGATGCTCGGCAACTGGCATGTACCTATGACGGTTGCAGTGTCCTGGGGTCACGTGATCTCCTTTTGTGACCTTCTGACAAGCAAGCTCAATGGGGAAGCCAGATTCACTTAACAACCTTGTTACTAATTTAGCGACTGCGGTGATTCACTTAACAACTGTGGCAAGAAAGGTCATAAAATGGGGCCAAATTCACTTAACAAATGTCTCGTTTAGCAACAGAAATTTTGGGTTCCATTGTGGTTGTAAGTTGAGGATTACCTGTATGGGATGTGGCATTTCTTCTCCCTCTCCTGGAATGAAAATTGCTGTTTCTTAAATTATATTTTTGAATTAAATTATCGATGGAGGCCTTGCTCTTTCTCCTATCTATCCCTCCTTTGAAAACCCCTGGAATTTATTTGAAGAGAAAAGCAAGCGATAAACAGAGCTGCATCAGGCAGAGGCAAAATTAAAGAGGAGAAGCATTTGAACTCCTAATCTTTCATTGCTGACCTCAACGCAGGCACACTGAGGAATACAGATTGATCTGGATTCCACTCCTTCCTGCCTCCCCCCCCCAACTTCACAAACGCTGCTTAGATGTCACTAATCAAAATGTATTTATGCACACACAGCCAACTTGTTTCGTGCGGAGGACTGTGGCTAAGAATTAAAAATGAGTTTGCTCAGGGAAAAAAAAATGTCCTTTCCAAGGTGCAAAATCCTGCTGGAGTTACTTCCTACCTGTCAAGATAGCTGCGATTATCTCACAATCGGTGCTGCTGTGTCCTTCATTTGCAACTGCTTACAGTTATGACTCTGAAAACAGAGTCCTTTGTTTGATCCACACGCAATCATCTTGGGCAGTTTTTCCTCACCCTTGGTAACTTTAAGGTGGGTGGACTTCAACTCCCAGAATACCCCAGCCAGTAAGTCATGTTGACTTCCTACATGTCAATGTAACAGTGACTACCTAACAATTGGTGCTGCTGTGTCCTTCATTTGCAAGGCTTACAGTCATGACTCTTTGAAAAGCATCTTACAATTGCAACCTATCCTTTATCTGACTCACACACAATCATCTCGCACCGTGTTTCTCAACCTTAGCCATTTTAAGATGGGTGGACTTTAACTCCCAGAATTTCCCATCCAGTCCAGGGTCCATAATATTCCCTCCCTGCCTGCCTGCGTGAGGTGGCCAGATCAAATTATTAGTGTTCCCATCAACTGTGTGAGAGATATTCCCCTTTCTTGGGTCTCTCCCCACAAAATCTTAGATGCTATTAAAAATGCTCCACCTTCAGAGGGTTAATTTTCTCCTCTTGTTCTCTTTCCAACTTCCCTGAAACTGCTAATCCCAAACATGCTAATTTCTCTGTGTGTCTCCTGTCAGGAGGATGCTGTTTAGGGTACCTGCAAAGTCGCTGACAGGCTGGATTAAGGTGAGTTATAAGGAGGTTTTTAAAAGTCAGCAAATCTCTCTGCATCTAAAGCAAAGTCCAAATTGCAGAAAAGCAAACTAAGGCGTGGGATACTTTGTTTTTCCAGCATCTGTGTAAAGCCAAGAGCTGTCCAGCACTCAATCTTCAAAGCATTTGCAGCTGTCCAGATGGGTGGGGCAAGAGCAGAAGACCAGATTTAGAGCTACTCAAACATCTGCCTACAAGAATGCCTTTTGGAGTTTAAAAGGCTTTCCAAAGTTATCTATAGCCTTGTGCATTTGAATATAATAAAAAAGAGGATTTATTTTTTTAAAAAACTCAACTCAATAATTTAAAGAGCAGCATTAAAATGACTGGCAATCACTGACTAACCCGTGCAAGCGAGCAGAATAAAGATGTACTGCTATCCACCAAAACGAAGCACGTAGATCAGGGGTCTTCAAACATGGCCCTTTTATGACTTGTGGACTTCAACTCCCAGAATTCCTGAGCCAGTTGTCTTATTGTGGGCTACCTGTAAAGCTGACATTAATCTCGCAGGTCTGAAAGTACAGAACACTCACCTTCTCCTTTACATTCTGATAACTTAATGGGGGGGTGGTATCTCTTCTGAGCCTCTCTGTCTACCCATTGCGAAGCTCTGGGCTGTGTCTTCTCTTATCTAACCATTTCCCAGGCAGCATCTCTTCACTGGGTCTTCCAAGGTCATTTCCACATACCATGACAGTAGAGAAGAGCATTGAGACGGATTTGGGGTGTGTTACTTTGCCCTGTTCGTGACTGTGGCCTGGCTTATGGTACAGTCCTCTCCTGATGAAGGAGCCTCATCCACTCCTGAAAGCCAGCAGGTCTCATGGTTTCAATAACACTCCGTGAGACAATGTCTCAGAAACCGGCTTAACCCGAGGATAACAAACACAGTTCTGCTGCAATAAATTAGCGATTTCCAGTCTTAACGGCCCTTCCTGGACTAATTGCCAGAGACTATTGTACATTACGGGAGTGCAATGAGACTAATACCTAAATATGCTCCAGTGATTATGCTGCCATCTTCAATAACCAAGCTGTTTAAATGTCATTGTGGAAATAGCTGTTTAGTGGGAGATGAAATGTTATTTTCAGAGTGGGCCAGCGGAACCTAATCAACCTTTGATTAGGTTGGGGGAGTTTCAGTTCCAAACTCTGGGTTATTATTTTTGTTCTTAATGGGAGAAAACTCAAGGAAGGCCTTAGTTACAAACTTTGCAGCTAATATTCAGTGCTGCCAGTTGGAATGGGTAAAAAACCCAGAGGAGATTTCCCAGGGAAGCTGTATCAAAGATGTGGTTCTAAAGCACAGTTGTGATTTATTTCCTTTTGTGAAGGGTATATGTTTAAAATCTGAATTTCAGAAAAGGATTCAGGAATGAAGGGAAATATCTTCCTCCATCAAACGTGATGCTCAGAGTGAGTCAAATTGGAGAAAAATATCTAAAATCTAAGGGACTTCTAAAGGAAGGAAGGAAGGAAAAGGAAGGAGGAGAAAAAAGAAGAAGGAAGGAGGGAGGAAAGTAAGGGAATGAGGTAGGAAAACTGCTTCTAGAGTTTCTGCTCGAAACAAAACAAAACAAAACAGAAAATGAAGTTTTTGACTTTGTATTTTGCTGATTAGATTAGTTTGCTGTTGTACAAATGGCTTCTCTAAATATGTGAAAGTAAAAAGCCAGGGTTGTCACTTTATTTTGAATTTTATTGCACTGAAAATGTTGGAAATCAATGCTTCCCCCCCCCCGTCCCCTCTATCCTACCCTTCTTTTCCCTTCCCCATTTCCCCATTATCTTTCTTTTCTTTTCTATTTTATATTATGACAAATGACAATAAAGTTTTTAAAAAGCAAAAGTACAATTGTCAAAATAGCTGACAAATTAGTTTTGACCTCAGAGCGTTTCATTTCCCGAAAACAACTTTGCTTGGAAACATACGCATATTCTGGCAGTTCTAAAGCTTGAAGTGACCCTAAATGATCAGCATTTGCTGAGAACACTGTTCAGAAGAGACTGTATAAACACTATAATAATAATAATAATATCCCAGACTTAACAACTGTCGATAAGAAAGACAAAAGACTCTGGATAGTGGACGTGGTAGTACCTGGGGACAGCAGAATAGAAGAGAAAGAACTGGAGAGGATCATAAAACAGAAAGACCTGCAAATAGAAATAGAATGACTGTGGCAAAACAAAAGCAAAGGTAGTACCAATAGTGATAGGTGCCTTGGGTGCAATCCCAAAACATCTGGAGCACCACTTGAACACCATCAGCATTTAAAATTCATCATCAGTCAACTGCAAAAGCTGGCAGAACAGCTCCTCCTCCTCCTCCTCCTCCTCCTCCTCCTCCATGTTTAGATCAAAGTTTAAACTGCCAGAATTAAGCCATCTTCTTGGCTTTGTCATTGGCCAAAAATAAGTTATTATTGGTATATGTTTCTGGTAGTAGCTGACATACTAATAGGTGGGCCAGGCTCTGTGTCTCTCAGAACAGCTTATAACCTGCGATGATATCTCTAACACCATCAGACATCGACATCTGCCTATCCCAGGTCCTTGGGAAACACTCGAGAGGCAGACAAAAATGCCAAATCCAATCTGAACATCTGGCTAACTGTGCAGCAAACAATAATAATGATAGGAGGAGGTCAGAACTTACCATATATCCTGGTCCACAGGTGCATTTCCCCGTGATGCTATCACAATCTGCTCCATTTTGACAATGGCAAACAAGGTGACAACTTTCCCCGTAGAACCCGGGCGCGCACGTTTCGTTGCAATAGAGCCCTGCCCAGCCAGCTTTGCAGTTGCATTCGCCAGACAGAGGATGGCAACTGTCAAAAAAGAGATCCGGGATTATTCAGCTAGTCTGGCAGAAAGAAAAGCAACTCCAGATCCCCGGAAGCCAACATTTGACCCGGTTAAATGCTGCACAATGTGTACAAACATTCCAGCCAAAGAAACAGGCAATCTGTCAGAAGTAAGAAGGTCAATATTTCTATGTGGCACCAAAAGGTCAGGAGGAAAAATTGATTCCAGCTTAGTACTGCTGGAAGAAGAAGGAAGAACATCACTGTGCTGAGTGGATAGGAAGGGCAATGAAGAGAAATTTGCTCAGAGTCAGGATAAATAGAAGCAGGCCAAAAAGCCAGTGGAGAAAGGGTCAGGAGGAAAAGGCACTGGGATTGTGGTTATTTGTCCGGCAATCCTGGACATAGGATGCTGGGGTTAAGTGCAAGGAGCCCTGGCCTCTGTGTGGCCCACCTCCAAGATTCAAAGCATTGTTCTGGACAGAGAAGGCTTCCCCTATTCTGGATGGGCAACATCTGGAAAGATTATCTTTGGCCTTTCTTGGGTCCCCAAGCTTGCAGTTTGGAACAGCAGCAATTGTTAGGATTCTGGCATGATTGGAAAGTGCACAACAAGCTCCTCTGGGCCATCTGTAGTGTCTGTGAAGTCTGCATGCACAGAAAAGAGCAGGGCTTTGATTGTGCTGTTATGGTCATCATCCTGACACTGTTAACTGCATGCATTTTGTTCGGCCTCCACTGTTAGGCCAGGGATATTTTCTGTGAGCATCTTCTGAAGACCTCAAGAAAAGGTTCCTCTTAGCCATATTCAAAGAATAGCAGAGTTAGGAGGGACCTTAGAGGTCTTCTAGTCCAACTCTCTCCTCAAGTAAGAGACCCTATACCGTTCCACACAAATGGCTGTCTAATGTTTTCTACAAAACCTCCAGTGTTGGAACACCCACAATTTCTGAAGGCAAGCCCTTCCACTGGTTGATTGTTCTCATTGTCAGGAAATTTCTCCTTAGTTCTAGGTTGCTTCTCTCCTTGATCAGTTTCCATCCATTGTTTCTTGTCCTACCCTCAAATGCTTTGGAGAATAGTTTGACCCCCTCTTCTTTGTGGCAGCCCCTCAAACACTGGAACACTGCTATTGTGTCACCCCTATTTCTTCTTTTCTTTAGTCTGGCCAAACCCAATTCCTGCAGCCGTTCTTCATATGGTTTAGTCTCCAGTCCCCTAATCATCTTTGTTGCTCTTTTCTGCACTCTTTCCAGAGTCTCAACATCTTTTTGATAATATGATGACCAGAACAGGATGCATTATTCTAAGTGTGGTCTTACTAAGGCTTTATAAAGCGGTACTAATACTTCACATGATCTTGATGTTATCCCTCTGTTAATGCAGCCTAGGATTGCATTTGCTTTACTTTGAAAATGCAAACCAGAATTACAAAGTCCCCAAGAAAAGTTTTACTTAGCTGGCCCAGTTTCTACCCCCACCCTCTCTACTTAAGCTATCAACAGAAGAGCTAGCACATAATGTTGTGCCTAAAAATTACCAAGTTCTGTAGCTGTCTTATGCTTCCTCGAGTAACTAATTAAAACAATTAATCAGCTTAATAAAAAATAAGAAAAGTTTCCAACTGACATACTCCTTGAATTATATGTTCCTCGGTTCACACCTCTTAACATTTAGATGAAAACTCATAAAAACAGCCACTGCCTCCACCCACCTCCGCTTCTATTAATCTCCATGGAATGAAAACAGAAAATGAAACAGCAAAGCAATAGTTTAGTTTCCCTGGTTTTGTGTTTCTTCCTTGTGGCACACACAACGCTACGTTTTCAAGCGGCCCTGGATAGCTAAATTAAATCTTTCAAAAGTAATAGATGTTTCTTGCAGTCAGAATCCATATATTACAATTCAACCAAACACTACTTCACCTGGTAAGCTTTTCTCCTGCAAGGTGGAGCCTTTCAACAGAATATAAAAGGTTAGGCCTTTTAAAAACAAATTACCAACATGAAATACGGATATTTTACGAGTGGCACAAAGTTTATTCCCCCAAATAATAAGCATGCAAGAGACAGACAGCAAGAAGAACAGAATTCACAGCCAATACAAATTCAGAAAAAGCTAAGGGCTCTTTTTAATCTCACTCTCTCTGTCTCTTAAAATCTATATTTCTGCCTCCAGTAATATTCTGTCTCAGCTCATATCTCCTGACTCTGAATCTTATTCTTCTCTGTGCAAATTCCACTTATGAAATTCACAGAGGAAAGTTGACTCAAAACAAGTTGTGTCTCCCTCTTTATTTTTCTTTTTAGTTCAGCTCCAGCAAAGCGTCCACTGTTGATACCAAGTTGGTTCTGGAGGTCAAGACCGAAGACCTTAGCTTGGAATTAGATCTAGAGTGATACCGAAATACTCATTGTTAATTAGCTCTGGATGAGTGCCGAAAACAATGGTGCTTATTTTTCCCATAAGGAAAAATGAGTCACAAAGGCAACGGACAAGTTCTAGCTTGAGCATCGAATACCAAACAGACAATGCGTACCAGGACTATTTTTTTGTGTCAAAATGCGTTGCGTACAGGTAGTCCTCAACTTACGACCACAATGGAGTCCAACATTTATGTTGCTAAGTGAGACACTTGTTAAGTGAATCTTGCTCCATTTTACAAAATTTCAAAGCAGTTGAATACCAAGGTACCCCTGTACAAGAATCTGATCCAATTTTGGACACTGGTATTATGTGCCTTGCCTACGCTGATATGCCACGGTTGAACTGGAACCCAAATCCATTCAGACAGATGTCTTTGGAGAAGGCCATCGGTCTCTCATCTTTTGGTACCCCCTTGTCTTGAAACTTAACAAGTGAAAGCAGAGTTTCTTGGAAAAAGTTAAATTCTGAAATGCCAACAGCATGCCTGAAAAATGCATCTAGGGATCTATGCCTGCCATTGTCTCTTCTGTTCCCCAAGGACCAAGATAAGGCTGAGCAGAAGGACAGATTTTATCAGTTGAGTGACTGGACTCATTTATTAAGAGCTGCAGATACCATCTGGAGAAAAGACTCTTTCAAGGCAAGAAAACAGGTGCAAACAGACAGGAAGTTAAAAAGAAACCAGCAGTGAAGAGAAATCCACCTGTATCTGAAGCATACGATGCAAATATTTTACTGGAGGAATAAATGTTAAGATCATTTATTCCTAACAAATGTGGAAGTCCTACCTAATGGTGGTAGCCTTCATTAAGAAGGCATTCAAACTTCAGGTTTCCTTAATGAATGCAACAATTTATGGAATTGGGGTAAGGAAGTCTTTGTCCCTAGGTCCACAAGGCAGACTTGTCAAAGAAAGCTTGGCTGACTAAAACCTCCGGAAAGAAACCTCATCCAGAAGACCAGAGGTTCAGGAGAAGCAGAAGCACCGCACACCTACCTGACTGTGTTAGTAGCATGACATGGACACCGTTTGTTGCACTTCAGCCCATAGTATCCCTCTGGACAGATCCGCTCCTGGCAATGGATGCCCTTGAAGCCCGGATCACACAGGCATGCTCCGTTGACATGATAGCACTTGGCTCTGTTCTCACAGTTACATTTCTCCACACACTGGAAGCCAAATGTCCCCACTGGACACTCCTCCTGACATCTACAAAGAAACATCATGGACTTAGGATCAGGTAGTCACTCTGGAGGGCTTGCAAAAGACTTCCAAGTCTGGCTTTGTAGAACATCTAGGACTCTGCAGTCAAGGGTGTCCACAGGAGGAGGGTCCACCCATCTTAAAGTTGCCAAGGTTGGGCTAAACCATAAATCAATCACAAGCCACAAGTGTTGGGTCCATACAATATCTAATCCAAACCAACTATATTCTGTCAATATTGCACGGGATTTGACCAGAATGAATTCATTCCTGGTGTTCTCAGACATGGTATACTGAGTGGGGTGTTATTCCGATTCTGATTATTAGTCCCATCCCTGCTCAAGCAGGAGACCCTATACCAGGGGTAGGCAACCTTGGCTCTTTTATGACTCGTGGACCTCAACTCCCAGAATCCCTGAGCCAGCATGGCTCAGCTTGGAAACCTCTCCCTTTCCCCTCAGCATGGCTGGCTCAGGAATTCTGGGAGTTGAAGTCCACGAGTCATAAAAGAGCCGAGGTTGCCTACCCCTGCCCAAATGCCTGAATTTTGATCACGTGATCGTGAGGAAAAAATATTTAAATATTTAAACCAGGGGTCTTCAAACTTGGCCCTTTGATGACTCGTGGACTTCAACTCCCAGAATTCCTGAGCCAGCCTGGCTCAGCTTGGAAACCTCTCCCTTTCCCCTCAGCATGGCTGGCTCAGGAATTCTGGGAGTTGAAGTCCACGAGTCACAAAAGAGCCGAGGTTGCCTACTCCTGCCCTATATACCATCCCAGACAGTCTCTTCTTAAAAACCTCCAGTGATTATGTTTAACGACTGGAGGCTAGCAAGTCATACCACCACTGATTAAAATGTTTACTATAACTGCCCTGCAGAGAAGATACTGCTAATTATTTCTTTCTTGGTCATTTTGCACAGAATAGAAAGTGTTAAAATATGACCATAAGAGAGAAAATATTTAAGCGGGCATTGCTGGCCTGGGAAAATAATGCAGCAATTAAATTGCTTAATAGGAAATGGAATATACAGCGGTTGGTTTAATTTAATATAATTTTGACCAGAAACAAACATGCTGTGAAAAACACTTAGTAGTTTTGCTGCTATATATACTTCTGCAGGAGTTTATCATCTGCGATAATGATTTTAAGGCATTTTTAGTTGGTAGAACAGTCTTCTGTTACCTTTTAAAAGAGAAATATTACTTTTAATGTTGCGGTTGAAGTTAATTAAGAACTGATTTACATATTTAGATAATTAAATATGGAACATCGCTGCGGAATGTAAATAGTTCAAAGTAAATGGTTCAAAATACACCCACCCCTGGAAAGCTACTTTGTTAAGATCCAGAATTTTAGGCTTTATGGAATGCAAGTTTTCTACCTAGGAAGAATTTTTGGGTATGTTTATGTAATGCAGGAAACTTTACAGATATGCCCTGAATATCTATAACCTTAAAATGGCCCATTTTCTCTTGAAATGAACTGTCCAGTTCCTCTGATTCAAATTATATCCAAGTAGTTTCTCACTGCAAATATCTCTTAGGTCCCCAGCTTTGTGGACCGGCAGTGGTGATGGCAGGGTGGGGGGAGAGGGGATGGTTCTGTGTGAGCGCATGCACAACTCCATTTACACAAATGGTGGGTATTCACAGATGCCACTCGCACAAATGGAGCTTGCACAAGTGGCCCGGGGCTTGGGGACCCCTGTTTTAGGCTACCAATGAGCCTTCAGTCCTGCCATCTCTTTTCATCATTTTTGAGAATTTAATCTCAGCGGCCAATTCTTTGATTTGCCCCTCTACGTCCGCTCTTGCAGGTTGCGTCCTTTCTGGAACTCTGGTGTGTGTGTGTGTGTGTGTGTGTGTGCGCACACACATGTCTTTCACACCTAACCTTTTGGCGGTTGGAACTGAGCAGCCCTCGATCTTCCTGACCACAGCACCCATGCTTTCTTTGGCTGAGCGGCTGGCAACTCTCACGAATGAAGGCAAAATATACGTGTCCCAGGATAACGTTGCAGGATTTCACTGAGTAAACAAGGAGTCCCTGTGGATTTTACTCTGCTACGGTAGTCACTGCTGACTATAGAGGATGGTGCTCTGTCTCCATTTCAAGACCATTGAACCAGCACTGTGTGAAGTCATTTCTGCAGTCAGGGGGCCAGCATGATGTCTTGGCGTGCTGTTACTTTCCCACTGCAGTGGTACCCATTTATCTACTCGCGTTTACATGCATTCAAACTGCTAGGTGAGCAGGAGCTGGGGCGAGGACGGGAGCTCACCCGTCACATGATGCTCGGGTCTCAAACCTGGGCTTTCCAGCTGATAAATCCAGCATCTTAACCACTGAGCCGTCTTGCCACCTCTTTTTTTGGATTCATGCTGGAGCCCAATCAGCAACAGTTCCCTGAGGATGGGCTCCAGGACAAGCCCAAAAGCTTGGAAGAATAAACTTTTGGTCCCAGTGACTGACTCAGATTGGATCCTGCAGTTGGCAACCCTTTCTGGCTGATGGGGAAACATGCCCCACTGTTACCTGTGCTTATTTAAGCAGAAAAACACAACACTCATGGAGATGAACGGGCTGCTGAACACCTCTATCATCCTGTATTTACAGGCGCTATCTAGCCTCTAAAATATCAAACCTTGGTGCCTTCATCCATTTAACATAATTAGGAGCCCTTTGCTCCCCGATCCTCACTTCTCTATGGTTTATCCCTCTGCTATCTTGTAAAGATCAAATACACTCTATAAGTGAATTTCACGCAGTGGAAACGTCTCACTTCCTATCCAATCAATCCCCAAAGACCATTAGGGGCGAAACGCGCTGCTCGGTTAAATTATACCACGACCGAATGCACCCTTGCCCGATTCGTGTTCAGTTTTCCATTTCACCCTTCTTATCTGGAGAGAGATACTTTACAGCCGTTCTTTGGGGCTTTAATAATAAGTGCATAATTATTTCAGCTCGGGTTAATATACTTGTCAGCAGCAGAATTAATGGCCACAATTTCACAAAATATTAAACACTACCATGCTTTGTTTAACACATTATATACATGTAACAAATATTAGTTTCTTTTACAAACACTATAAGACAGGCGGCCAGCCCATTTGTATAAAAGTGATATGTTTCTATCTTACATGAAAAAAGGACATTGGCCCCTCGAAACATTTAAACTCTTTGGGTCACAATTTCATACACACCAGTAAAACATACGTAGGAAAACAAATAAACAAGCAAAAAAAGAAATCACACACTGGTTCACTGCAACTGTTTGCAAAACGACTGGGTTTTTTTATTATTCTACCTTTTGCTTTATGGCTTGGGCAGTGTAATGTGTCCTAACTTTTATTGCTTTTTAGCAAGTTGACTTTGCATCCAGTGCGTATCGTCAGCTTTTTATTTGATTGTGCATTTCCCCATGACGCTTTCCATGGATGCGTTTAGAGGTTTGCTTAATACTAATTTGTTATTTTTTTTTTTACAACACCTAGAGAATTTGTAAAGAAGTTAAGATCAAAGAATAAAAGAGGGCGGTCCCTCCCTTTTCTATAATCGTGCGACCCAGCCATCTGTGGTGATTCTCCCATGCAACGGTTGTAAGTGTGAAAAACAGTCATAAATCATTTGTTTCAATGCCGTTGTAACTTTGAACGGTCACTAAATGCACTGTTGTAAGTCGAGGACTACCTGTAATGAAAATAGATTCTTGACACCTGCAAGAGTGTCTTTTTGCACTACGTTTGTTGTTTCTGTTGGGCAGGATTTCCAATGAAAAGCTCAACTGCTTGCAAATTCTAAAATGGTCTAAGAGGTAATCCTTGATTTACAGCCATTCATTTAGCGACTGTTTGAAGTTACAACAGCACTGAAAAAAAATGACTTGCAACAGCTTGTCACACTTACAGCCGTCGCAGCATCCTTACAGTTACATGTTCAAAACGTGGGTGCTTGACAACTAGCGTGCATTTACAAATACTGTAGGGTGGTGCGATTGCCGTTTCTGACCTTCCCAGAGTCATGGGGGAACCTGAATTCACTTAACAACCACTTGATTCAATTAACAAAAGCACTGATTTGTCTAACAATCCTGGCGACTGTGCTCATAAAATCGGGAAGGGCCCACTTAACAACTGTCTGGCTTAGCAATTGAAATTTGGATCCAAATGATGGCCATAACTTGAGAACTACTGTAATGCTCAAGATACCTAGCGCTATCAACCTGAAAATTGTCAAATTATTCAAAATACACAACTGCCTCTAATTGACCAGAAACGAAACAGCAGTTCATTTCCCATACATTTTTAGTGAGTAAGACGTTTTAATCAAATATTTACCTCAACATACATGCTTTATTATCTTCATTTACTAGGCAGAAATTTATGAGCTAGCTTTAAGGAGTGCAAATAGAGCTTCCAGCTGGGGTGCTACTAAAAAAAAATCTATTATTAGGAATATTTTTAAATTATTTAAAGGTCACTCAGAAGCAAGTTTTTGTTTAGAATGGTAAAAGAGAAAAGAGATTGTACTAAAAGAAACCAAGAAGTCTCATTTTTTAAAATTTCAGTTGGTTCATTGGTTCTGTTGTACAGGTAAAATAAAAGCACCTAGAGATTTAAAAACAAACAGTGTCTGTTAGTTAAACTTAATTGAAAATTGTAGTTAAAAGTTTAACTAAAGCCAGAAATGAATCTTGAAATTGCAAGAGTTTTGGCTTTAGAACTTAATTTCATGAATTGGGAGCCATGTTCCTTCAGCAAACTAGGAACTCTGCAGGGTAGAGAAAAAAAGCTAAAATTCATTGCTTACTCTTGAGGGAATTAATTGATGCAACGGCAATGCATTTGCATATCCTGTAAACACGGAGTGTTCCCTGTTAAATTTATTGCTGCAAATATCTAAATTAAATTAAATTTAATCCATTATACTTTATAAGGGACATTAAAAAAAAACCCTCAGCAACCTAACTAATAATAAAAATGGGGATTGTTGCCAATGAAAATGTTAGAAGCGATAATATCTCTCTGGAAAAATGTGACTCATTTTCAGGAGAGCTATGAAGCATTTAGGAAAAAGGTTCCTTTTTTTTTTTTTTTTCCTTTTTCTCTCCTTTAAATCGTGACCCATTTCAAGGACGCAGTTTCTTGACTTCCGATTTGGGCAGCCAAAAATATAAATATAGGCAGGGAAACTGAAATTTGCATAGTATATAATGGCAGGTGTGTGTTTGTCTGTATTTTGGTTTTTCTGCTTGTTAATGACCACAATAAAGTTATTTGATGGGTGTGTGTGTGTGTGTGTATGTGTGTGTGTGTGAGAGAGAGAGAGAGAGAGAGAGAGAGAGAGAGAGAGAGAGAAGAGCTGACTGGGTGACTTTGGGCCAATCACCAGGAGATGGTGAGTTCTAGTCCCACTTTAGGCATGAAAGCCAGCTGAGTGACCTTGGGCTAATCCCTCTCTCTCAGCCTAATCCACTTCACAGAGTTGTTGTGAGGAAAATAGGAGAAAGAAAGAGCACTGATTATATTCGCCACCTTGAGTTATTTGTAAAAACAATAAAGGCAGGATACCAATAAACAGACAATAAACAAATAAAAATAAACTTGTCCAAATAGGAATTTTTGAATACATTTCAAGATCACAACTTTTCTCAAGCCAAGAACAATGAATCGAGATGTTTCTGTGCATTAATGAGTCACCTGGGGAGATGTTTAGCAGCATCAAATTTCTGGGTGTGCAGCTAACGAGTAGGCTGGCTTGGTCGCTCAATAGTGAGACACTGGTGAAGCGGGCACAGCAGCGCCTGCATTTTCTGCGTCGCATAAGAAAAGCACATCTTCCTTCCCCTGTCCTGACCACTTTCTACAGAGGGATGATTGAGAGCATCCTGTCATTCTGCATCACAGTCTGGTTTGGAAGCATCCCTGCTTCGGACAGGAAGGCGATGCAGAGAGTGGTGAGGACAGCAGAAAAGATTATTGGCAGTTCCCTCCCTCCCATCCAGGACATAGCACATAAGTGTTGCTTGACCGGGTCTGCAAGGTTGTCTGGGACACTACACATCCTCTTCACGACCTGTTTTCCTTGTTACCTTCTGAGAGGAGGCTCCGTGGTATCCGAAGCAGAACATCCAGATTCAGTCACAGTTTTATTCCATACAGTATTAACCTTGTGAACTCTAAAGCTTCCTCTTTCTGCTAGGTATTCAAGATGGACAGTTGATTAATATTTATATGTTATTTATATGTAAGGATGTAGGTTTATGATGTTGTGTATAGCATGTTTAAATATGTGTTATGGACACTTTTGAGAGCAAGCAACAGAATTTCATTTTTAATGTGTGCCAATGTGCCCACAGTAAAAAAAAAATGACAAAAAAGGTTATCTATCTATGTAATGTCCCCATTGGGAATCTCCCTGATCATTTCAGATTATTGCCTTTTAGGAAGCATGAAACAAACTTGTTGACTTATTTGCAATTTTTGTCAGCGTGCCAGATTTATCAATTTATTTTCCAGTCCAAGGTTGGGTTATCAAAATAAATGAATAACCCATCCTAACATTTGTGTTTTGGAGTACACTGCTCTGAACATGTTTTTATTTAAATATTTGTTTTCGGAAACAATTTTCTTGAATGCATTTTTCTACAGTATTTCCACACATAAATGGACTGTCGTCTGAATGTTCTCTAATATATATTTTTCAATTACTGTTGAACAGCTGCACTGTAAAAATCAGAGAACTTTAGATTTTTTTAAAAAAAATAACTAATTTTGCTTCAAGAATACAAATTGAGGGAAGATCTGCATCAGCTACCAAATATTCTATCCGTTACCTGCTTTCTGAAAAAAAAAAAAACCTTTAGGAAATAAATCAGAAATCTTTTTATCTTTTGCAAATTAAGGGTTGGGGGAAATGTTTGTGAGCCTATCATTCGGTTTCCGGTCCAATCTGAGTTTTATGACTGTCAACTGATTTTGCTTGTTACCTTTTATCTCTCAGTAGTGCTATTTTGTATTCGAGGTGATTGTTTATTTATACGTCTATCTCGGTAAGATATGCAGCTGCCCTGAGAATTTGTGAGCTGGGGATGACAGATAAATCTTTCGAGAAATGAAATAACAACCTCGGATTGCATAACATTGCCTTACTACACTTTACAGTGTTTCTCATAAATAATTTAGTGTCTTGTGATCAATTAAAAATGAATGCTTTTATTAGGACATAAATTTATTGACATTTGTGGACAAGAGTTGCAAGCTTAACGGTCCAAGGAGTGTTTTCTAAAGCCTCGTGGGATCCTTAGGTCATCTCACCCAAGACAAGAGCACAGATAGTCCTCAACTTACAACTTACAGTTCATTTAGGGACCGTTCAAAGTTACAACGTAACTGAAAAAAGTGACTTAGGACCCTTTTTCACACCGACGGGTCACGTGATCAAAATTCAGGCGCTTGGCGCCTGGTTCATACTTATGACGGTTCGCAGTGTGTCCCGGGGTCACGTGATCCCCTTTTGTGACCTGACGAGCAAAATCAATGGGGAAGCTGGATTCGCTTAACAACAAACTGCAGTGGTTCACTTAAGAACTGTGGCGAGAAAAGCCGTAAAATGGGGCAAAATTCACTTAACTGACGTCTCGCTTAGTAACATAAATGTTGGGCTCAATTGTAGTCGTAAGTCGAGGACTACCTGTACAACAATGTAGCGATGTTCATATTTATAACTGACCCAGATCCTATTGTTCATTTGGGATGCAGAAATAGAAATTGCCTGTTGGAAAACTGTTAAAACCTCCCCCTGGGAGGCTGACCTGCCAAACCTCAGCTGCTCTTCGTACGGCCATCCATCCAGCCACTCAGCCTCACCCCAGCCTCTGTCAGTCGTTGGAAGCCCAGAAGGATCGGGCAAGGCAATTTTTCTTGGTGTACAGACAGGCTGTCATGTCAGGATCACATACGACATTAGCAGATATATTTTTTTTGTAAGAATGCAAAACTTGGTTACCCTTATCTAAAACTTTGTGCCTACCTGTCTCCCATATACCCTGCAGTACACAGGCACACCCCCGTCACGTGGTCGCATTGTCCTCCATTATGACATGGGCATTCTTGGCTGCAGTTAACCCCGTATGTTCCCGATGGGCAAGGCTGAGCACACACAGAACCCTGAGCGAGAGAAAGAGAGAGAGAGAGAGAGAGAGAGAGAGAGAGAGAGAGGGAGAGAGAGAGAGAGATTGAGATTGAGATTAAAAATCGGAGCTTTTAAATGAGAGATTGGACAGCCATTTGTCCGAAATGGTTATAGGGTCTCCTGCTTGAGTAGAGGGTTAGACTAGAAGACCTCCAAGGTTCCTTCCAATTCTCTTATTCTGTAACTTCTGTAACCTGTGTGGGATTATCTAAAACCAACCGTTTTCATTGTTTTCAATATCTCCAAATAATAATTTTGTTCCAAAAGGAATTAAAAAGGTGGAATTTGGACCAAATTTAACAAACGTAGGGTATAAAACTTAGAATATCTTTAAAGTTGTTATTAAAATGTGATTCAGAAACAAAATAAAAATTCTTGAGTAAGGGTATGGAGAATAGAACAATTGAAGTGCAAATTATACACACACACATATCTCCCATATATACATACACACACACACACACATATTCACTTACTCAGGAATCTTTGTTTTATACATGTATGTGGGCGTGAGTGGGGGTGTGAGGGTGGGACAGTGGTTAGAAAGCAGCATTGCAGGCTGATTCTGCTCACTGCCAGGAGTTCGATCCTGACCAGCTCATGGTTGACTCCACCTTTTATCCTTTCAAGGTCAATAAAATGAGAACCCCAGATTGTTGGGGGCAATGTGCTGACTCTGTAAACCGCTTAGAGAGGGTTGTAAATGCACCGTGAAGCGATATATAGGTCTAAGTGCTATTGCTATAAAGTTTATTTTAAGCTATGAAATTGTATATGACATCTTTCTCCTCCAAATACCCTAAACAAAAAAACAAAATCTCTAAAGTCCAAGTTAGATATTCTGGGAAGTACAAACTCCCAGCCTCAGGTCTGTCTGCTTGTACATTCCGGTTGGCTGCAGTCAGATGCCAAATACCAAGACTTTCAAAATCCAGCAAAAGAAGAAAAAGTTTCACTTTTGTTGTAGCCATGCTGAAGTTTTCTCTTTTCTCTTTTTTATGAAAGCCCTGGAGAGGCTCTCTTAAACTCACACTCTCGGTATTTGTAAGCAGACTACTTTTACTTAGAAATTCAAGTCCTTCCCCATGCAGACACTCTAAACCTTGGCTTTGTCCTAGGGGAGAAGGAACCTCAGATATGATTTTTAAGAAACTTCCCAGCATCCTTTGGAGGGTCTACTCTGCATCCTTGTAGGTGAAACATTTTTGGCTCACCACAGCTTGTTGGCAGGATTTTTTTTTTGCAGTTACCCTATTAATTTCGGTTTTCCTATTTTCCGCAGGACATTTTTAACCCTGCAGCAATTATGTTGTATTGATTCAAGCCTGCAGGTTATGTTGTAGTCTCTGTTTCAGTCTGATGTACAACTAGTGCAAATTACAGCGCTGTGCCACAGACATCACACATCAGCTTGGCACCAACTTTCAGGTCATGCCACTAGAAACAGGCCGGAGGCTGGAGCAATTCTATTCATACTGGGTTCCGTACTCAGCTTTTTAGTTTTGTTTATTTATTGTATTGAGCAGTTTCGGATGCTATCCAGGTGACGCACTTCTCCACGCAGTGTTGCGTATTGTTCTGCAAAACAGTCATTTATTCACTGCAATTAATGAGAGCTTGTTGTTTTTATTACGTCTTGCAAAGGAAGACTGTGAAAAATAAAGGCAAATCCTGCTTGTTTTACTTGCATCCAATTTTGGTCACCACAATATAAAAAAATGTTGAGACACTGGAAAGAGTTCAGAAAAGAGCAACAAAGATGATATGGGGGGCTGGAAGCTAAAATATAGGAAACAGTTGCAGGAATTGGGTATGTCTACTCTAGTGAAAAGAAGAACTAGGGGAGATATGATAGCAGTGTTCCAATATTTGAGGGGCTCCTACAAAGACAAGGGGATCAAACTATTTTCCAAAGCACCAAAAGTCAAGATGAGAGAAAAATGGATGGAAACTAACCAAGGAGAGAAACAACCTAGAACTAAGGAGAATTTCCTAACAGTGAGAACAATCAACCAGTGGAAGGGCTTGCCTTCAGAAGTTGTGGGTGCTCCATCACCGGAAGATTTTTTAAGAGGAGACTGGACAGCTACTTGTCTGGAAGGTCTAGAGCAGGAGGTTAGACTAGAAGACCTCCAAGGCCCCTTCCAGACCTATGGTTCTATGTTCTATGCTCTAAGCTAGGCTCATCTCACAGATGCCTGACAAGAACAACCCTTCCTCCATTTCCTCCCCCAATTCATAGCTTCCCAATAGTTTTTTGTGGTCTTCCCAGGGATAAATAAAGCATCTCCCGAGTCTCTGACTTTTGCTGTTTTCCTCATTTCCAGCAGCAGCAGCATTCGCCAAGGGTTTAATTGTCAAACGGTGGAATAATGCCAGAGGGCATAGCAGAACTGAATGAGGCCTTTGGCAAACCCAGAGGGAGTTAATTATCACGTTATTGATACAGATTTAGATGCTTTTCTTTAAAAAAAATAAAATAAGAGAGNAGAGAGAGAGAGAGAGAGAGAGAGAGAGAGAGAGAGAGAGAGAGAGAGAGAGAGATATTAAAAACTGGAGCTTTTAAAGAAGAGACTGGACAGCCATTTGTCCGAAATGGTTATAGGGTCTCCTGCTTGAGTAGAGGGTTAGACTAGAAGACCTCCAAGGTTCCTTCCAATTCTCTTATTCTGTAACTTCTGTAACCTGTGTGGGATTGTCTAAAACCAACTGTTTTTATTGTTTTCAATATCTCCAAATAATAATTTTGTTCCAAAAGGAATTAAAAAGGTGGAATTTTGACCAAATTTAACAAACGTAGGGTATAAAACTTAGAATATCTTTAAAGTTGTTATTCAAATGTGATTCAGAAACAAAATAAAAATTCTTGAGTAAGGGTATGGAGAATAGAACAATTGAAGTGCAAATTATACACACACACAATCTCCCATATGTACATATACAAATATATACACATACACACACACATATATATTCAGGAATATTTGTTTTATACTCAGGAATCATTGTTTTATACATGTGTGTGGGCATGAGTGGGGGTGTGAGAGTGTATATTAGCAGTCATGGTGGGACAGTGGTTAGAAAGCAGCATTGCAGGCTGATTCTGCTCACTGCCAGGAGTTCGATCCTGACCAGCTCATGGTTGACTCCATCTTTTATCCTTTCAAGGTCAATAAAATGAGAACCCCAGATTGTTGGGGGCAATGTGCTGACTCTGTAAACCGCTTAGAGAGGGCTGTAAATGCACCGTGAAGCGATATATAGGTCTAAGTGCTATTGCTATAAAGTTTATTTTAAGCTATGAAATTGTATATGACATCTTTCTCCTCCAAATACCCTAAACAAGAAAACAAAATCTCTAAAGTCCAAGTTAGATATTCTGGGAAGTACAAACTCCCAGCCTCAAGTCTGTCTGCTTGTACATTCCGGTTGGCTGCAGTCAGATGCCAAATACCAAGACTTTAAAAATCCAGCAAAAGAAGAAAAAGTTTCACTTTTGTTGTAGCCATGCTGAAGTTTTCTCTTTTCTCTTTTTTATGAAAGCCCTGGAGAGGCTCTCTTAAACTCACACTCTCGGTATTTGTAAGCAGACTACTTTTACTTAGAAATTCAAGTCCTTCCCCATGCAGACACTCTAAACCTTGGCTTTGTCCTAGGGGAGAAGGAACCTCAGATATGATTTTTAAGAAACTTCCCAGCATCCTTTGGAGGGTCTACTCTGCATCCTTGTAGGTGAAACATTTTTGGCTCACCCCAGCTTGTTGGCAGGATTTTTTTTTTTGCAGTTACCCTATTAATTTCGGTTTTCCTATTTTCCGCAGGACATTTTTAACCCTGCAGCAATTATGTTGTATTGATTCAAGCCTGCAGGTTATGTTGTAGTCTGTGTTTCAGTCTGATGTACAACTAGTGCAAATTACAGCGCTGTGCCACAGACATCACACATCAGCTTGGCACCAACTTTCAGGTCATGCCACTAGAAACAGGCCGGAGGCTGGAGCGATTCTATTCATACTGGGTTCCGTACTCAGCTTTTTAGTTTTGTTTATTTATTGTATTGAGCAGTTTCGGATGCTATCCAGGTGACGCACTTCTCCACGCAGTGTTGCGTATTGTTCTGCAAAACAGTCATTTATTCACTGCAATTAATGAGAGCTTGTTGTTTTTATTACTTCTTGCAAAGGAAGACTGTGAAAAATAAAAGCAAATCCTGCTTGTTTTACTTGCATCCAATTTTGGTCACCACAATATAAAAAAAGATGTTGAGACACTGGAAAGAGTTCAGAAAAGAGCAACAAAGATGATATGGGGGGCTGGAAGCTAAAATATAGGAAACAGTGGCAGGAATTGGGTATGTCTACTCTAGTGAAAAGAAGAACTAGGGGAGATATGATAGCAGTGTTCCAATATTTGAGGGGCTCCTACAAAGACAAGGGGATCAAACTATTTTCCAAAGCACCAAAAGTCAAGATGAGAAAAAAATGGATGGAAACTAACCAAGGAGAGAAACAACCTAGAACTAAGGAGAATTTCCTAACAGTGAGAACAATCAACCAGTGGAAGGGCTTGCCTTCAGAAGTTGTGGGTGCTCCATCACCGGAAGCTTTTTTAAGAGGAGACTGGACAGCTACTTGTCTGGAAGGTCTAGAGCAGGAGGTTAGACTAGAAGACCTCCAAGGCCCCTTCCAGACCTATGGTTCTATGTTCTATGCTCTAAGCTAGGCTCATCTCACAGATGCCTGAAAAGAACAACCCTTCCTCCATTTCCTCCCCCAATTCATAGCTTCCCAATAGTTTTTCGTGGTCTTCCCAGGGATAAATAAAGCATCTCCCCGAGTCTCTGACTTTTGCTGTTTTCCTCATTTCCAGCAGCAGCAGCATTCGCCAAGGGTTTAATTGTCAAACGGTGGAATAATGCCAGAGGGCATAGCAGAACTGAATGAGGCCTTTGGCAAACCCAGAGGGAGTTAATTATCACGTTATTGATACAGATTTAGATGCTTTTCTTTAAAAAAAATAAAATAAGAGAGAAGTCAGCCTTTCTTCTTGACACGTAGAATTAAAGGCGAGGAATAATGCATTGTTTGGAAGGACCCCTCAGTGACTTCAACATTAGCAAAATGCTGCTGGCAATCAGTGAGACGATATGCATGAAAAATACTGTATGTTTAAATCTCTGCCCAAGGGGGAGCATTTTATATCTTCCCTTCAGTGAAAAGGGGGACCTCCAAGTTTTGTCGCTGTACACAAATGCTGTGTTTTCTCCAGCGAGTTTAAGGAAGGGCAAGTACAGGTAGTTCTTGACTTACAACCATCACTGAGCCCAAAATTTCTGTTGCTAAGTGAAATATTTGCTAAGTGAGTTTTGCTCCATTTTACGATTTTTCTTCCCCAGCTAAATGAATCCCTGCAGTTGTTAAGTCAGTAACATGGTTGTTTAAGTGAATCTAGTTTCGCCACTGACTTCCCTTGTCAGAGATCGCAAAGGGATGCTGTGACAAATGTTAAGTGTGACAAACAAATGCACAGGTAGAGATGAGGTGAAACTTGGCTCAATAGCACTAACCGCAAGAGGGATCTTGGAGTCCTAGTGGAAAAGTCATTTAAATATGAGTCAATAATGTGCTGCAGCCGCCAAAAAAGGCCAGTGCATTGAAGATCACGAGAAGTTATATTATTGCTTTAATACTGCACTAGCAAGGCCACACCTGGAATACTGCATCCAGTTCTGGTCACCACGATACAAAAAAGATTCTGCGATCCTAGAAAGTCTGTCAAGGTCTTTCTAGATCTTCAATCTATCTTCCAAAGTGTTGGCAATTCCCCCAGCTTGCTGTTGTCTACTGATTTGATGAGCTAGCCTTCAATCTCCTCATCTAGATCATTTATGAAAATGTTGAAAAGTACTGGACCCGAGACAGAATTTTGAGGTATGCCCTGCATTCTTCTCTCCAAATAGAAATAGTTCCATGTAGGATTAGGGGCGACATGATAGCAGTGTTCCAATATTTGAGGGGCTGCCACAAAGAAAAGTGGGCCAACCTGTTCTCCAAAGCATCCTTTGGAGGCAAAACAAAAAGCAATGGATGGAAACTAATCAAGGAGAGACGCAACCTTAAACTAAGGAGAAATTTCCTGACAGTTAGAACAATTAATCAGTGAAACAACGCTGGAGGTTTTCAAGAAAAAATTGGACATTTTAAAAAGAGACTGGACAGCCATTTGTCTGGAATGGTATAGGCTCTCCTGCTTGAGGAGGGGGTTGGACTAGAAGACCTCCAAGGTCCCTTCCAACTCTGTTATTCTATTAGTTGTACTCTTGATCTCCTTTAGGTCTCCACCCCACGTGAGAGTAAGCGGATGGCAGCAAGAGGCATATTTTCTCTGCCTTGAGTTTTGAGAAGTTAAGGCAGTACAGATTTATTTATATTTATTTATTTATATTTAAATTTATATGCCGCCCTTCTCCCCATGGGACTCAGGGCGGCTCACAGCATATTAAAACATTGTACAAAAAATTTTTTCCCCTGCTAAAAACCAATTAAAATCCAAATATTGGTAGCTGTGGCTCTTTAAAATTGTTTAAAAATTGTCCCTATGGTATAAAAACAGAAGGTTTAATCAATATTTATTAAAGCCACCTATATGGTATAAAAACAGAAGGTTTAATCAATATTTATTAAAGCCACCTGAATCTGTGGATTTGTGCAAAGCCCACAAACATTTTCAGAAATAAATATAATGCAACAGGCTGGCATTTGGCAGTTTTCTTCCTTTGGAAGAAAAATTAGAAGACTTTTTTTAAAGAAAAAACAGCACAGGTAGCTAAACGGTTGCCATGGATACCTAGATGTTTGTGGCAGTACAATGAGAGCCCAGGGAATACGTTAAAATATGGTTTAGAACTCACAATTGTTATATTCACTCAATAGATCACCCTTCAGTCTAGCTCAATATTTGAATCCAGGCCAGAGACCATATTTATCCAAGAAGACTAAACTCTTAAAATTCAATCCAAATTTCCTAGAGATGCCCTCTGCCCCACGACCCCCCCCCCCCAAAATGAGTATGGGTATCTTGACAGGTTTGTGCATGTGTTTGAATATATCTATGCACGTAAGTAAACCTGTCAAAAGCCAGGTTAAAATAAAACAGGCAGGGCCAGGAGAAAAATAAATAAATAAATTGGTTTTAATTGAACTAATAACTACTAATTAAAATTAATTGCCTATAAAATAAGGTGCTCAGTTTATAAAACTAATTGATTTTCTCCTTGGCGTTTTTTAACCTTTCTTTTTCTCACATGTGAAAACACTTTTCTCTTTGCAGCAAAAAAAAAAAAAAAGAGGTGATGCTTGTGAGACAATAGAAAGGCTCAATTCAGAATCTGTCTCACAAGCGTTTTGCAGTTGTGCAAAAATTGTTATCATACAATTGTAAATCCACTCAGACAAACATTATAAGGCTCGTGGCGGTAGGTGTTGGGTCCCCGGTACTCTCTGAGCTTGGTAGTTTTCTTGCAGATGTTTCATTACCCAACTAGGCAACAACATCAGTGCTGATGTTGTTACCTAGTTTGCTAATGAAACGTCTGCAAAAAATCCACCAAGCTCAGAGAGCACTAAGGACCCCACAGTTCAACGCTGAGCTACAATTGAGCTTCTCTCAATTGTAGGGGTGCTCCAATTTTTCCTACCATCCATCCTGGGGGACAGGTGCATTCTCCCGTGATGTGGTGACAGGTTCCTCCATTTTGGCAGGGGCATCGCTGTTCGCACTGGACTCCGTGGCTGCCGGGAGGACACGGCTCTTCACAACTGCGCAGGTTGGTTGCGAGGGAATAGAACCCAAAGGGAATAGAAAGTGACACAAAACAATTTTGTAAGTTACAGCAGCATTGCCCCAAGGCATATACAAATCATCCATCATGCAGCTGGATCCCATCAACAGTGTTCAGAGAAAAATGTAGATAGCCAATATTTATCGCTCAAAAAAGACAGGTTTCCTTTCAAAACCTTTTGCTTACGTTAACAGATCTTTATTCCCAAAGAAAATCACCACTCCGGCTCACGCAAGGACTATTTTTTGAAGGTTTTCATTTCAGAAAATGGACAGTCACAAGCTGAAGTCTCCCAAATCACAGCCAAGGCTTTCCAAATGTTTGAGGCTCCCGATACAAAATAAAAAGTATATGAAATACAGGTAGTCCTTGACTTACAACTGTTCATTTAGTGGCCGTTCAAAGTTACAACGGCACTGAAAAAAATGACTTAGGACCGTTTTTCACACTTATGACTGTTGCAGCATCCCCAGGGTCATGTGATCAAAATTCAGAGGGTTGGCAACTGACTCACATGTATGACCTTTGCATTGTCCCAGGGTCATATGATCCCCTTTTGCAACCATCTGACAATCAAAGTCAACGGGGAAGCCAAATTCACTTAACAGTGTTACTAACTTAAGAAATGCAGTGATTCTCTTAACAACTGTGGCAAGGAAAGTCATAAAATGGGGCAAAATTCACTTAACTAATGTGCCATTTAGCAACAGAAATGTAGTCGTAGGTCAAGGGCTGCCGGTAATACCTCATTACAGGCAGTCCTTGACTTATAACCCTAAGTAAATCCAGAATTTAAGTTGTAAGTCATGCTGGTTGTTAAGCAGGTTATCCACATGACTGCGCTAGATTTTACCACCTTTTCTTTGTGGTGCCCTTTAAGCAAAGGCAGTGATTGTTAAGCAAATCCATTGTCTACAATGGCTGTTTTTGCCAAAAACTGGAAGTAAACTGCCAGTTTCTGGCAAAAAAAACGTTGTAAATCATGGTCTAAACGACAACAGAATGTTGCAAATGGTTGATAAATGCGGGCTGTTTGCAATGCATCCAAAATATGATCATGTGACCATGGGAGGCTGGCTGTAGGAACTTTGAATCTAGGGTAGGGATAGGCAACCTTGGCCAAGGGGAAAGCCTCACATCTTGGTTTGAGATTGGGATACTAAATAAAACTCAGAGGAGTCAGGGAGGATCAATTCAACAGACATATTGAAAATCTAGATTGATGGACTCATGCAGAGGTTGGCGCACACGCCGAAGCAGCTGTTTTATGAATTTGCAATCTGTCCTAGATCCCTAATGTTCACAATAAACAACAACATTTATAAATATTTACGAGAAAAACAAAATCAATATCCACTGTCTCAGGGAAGCAGTTTTGAACTGACAAATATAAATGCTTTCTACCGCCAGATCAATTCACAGGGAATGATAGGTCTATTAAGGCGTATTAGCATAGGTGTCTGTTAGAAGCCACCATGACGTCAGAATGCTGTCCTGACATGTGTGATGTCACTCCCCCCCACCGTTGCTCCACGAACGTGCATGGATAGGAGCCATAAAGAGTTAACAGACTCTTGGTTTGTGATGGAAGAAGCTGACCACATTGTAGGTCAATTTCTATGCAATGGAAGGCAAGGAAGCACAAAGGGGTGCTGAAGCCCCCGTCACTCCATCAGGTCAACAAAAACTCAGAATTAAATTTTAGAATCAGAATAGAGCTGGAAGGGATCTTGGAGGTCTTCTAGTCCAGCCCCCTGCTCAGCAGGAGACTGAGCAGGAGATCCTATACCATTTCAGACAAGTGACTGTCCAGTCTCTTCTTAAAAACAGTTCCCTAGTTTTGGCTTCATTGAACCTCAAAATGCTTGTTAACACTCTATGCAGAAGATGGGGTGTTTTTTACTGTAGAAGATAGTGATAGAAAGTGGTACAATGTCATTAGCAGGTCATTAACAGACCTCTTCCTCAATTCTAAGTAATTGTTATTATGGTTCGTCGCATAGTCAGCCAGATGTTCAGACTGGATTTGAATTTTTTTTCCACCTATCGAGTTCTTCCCAAGGACCTAGGATAGGCAGATGTTGTTGTTTGATGGTGTTAGAGGTAAGAATAAGCTGTTCTGAGTATTATTTTGTGCATTTTGATCAGGGTTGACTCCTGGCAACTGCGTGGACAAGTCCCTGCAATTTTCTTGTCATTTCTAGATGAGATGGTGGCACACATATCAAACAAACAAGCAAATAATGGTTTGCCCTTGTCTTCTTCCTAGGGCTGAGAGAGGGTGATTGGCCCAGTTGCCTTCATGCCTACAGCAGAACTTGAACTCACAATTTTCTGGTTTCTAACCCGAGGCCTTTCTAACCTCTATATAAAACCGGCTGCTGCTTCCCCTGAAATTAAAATCCACAGCCCCATGACTTACAAAACTCCAGTGTATCCAGGTGCACAATGACATTCTCCTGTGTTGTGGTCACAGGTTGCCCCATTATGACACTGGCACTTGAGCAGGCAGCCTTTCCCGTAAGTTCCCGGCTCACACAAATCCTCGCAGCGCCATCCTTTGTATCCTGGTGCACACACACAAGCGCCAGTGATGGGGTTGCACAGAGCTCCATTCCGGCACTGGCAAGGGTTGCTGCAGTGAGGGCCCCAGTGGTCCTGATCACAACCTGAAACAACAACAAGAACAACAGGAAGATCCTTTTAGGAGAACTGTCAATCACACCACCACATATCACTGAATCTCTTGGAGGTGGAGGAGGTGACACACGGCTTCCCTACAAGCTTTCTCAAGACTTTCGAGGGGATGTGCATAAATCAGGGATTTAACTGAAACCCGTGCTCAGGAAAAATTGATTTCATGATTCAAACGGCTATTAATTCATTAGCCAGAAAGACAGAACATAGAATAATAGGGTTGGAAGGGACCTTGGAGGTCTTCTAGTCCAACCCCCTGCTCAAGCAGGAGACCCTATACCAGGGGTGTCCAACCTTGGCAATTTTAAGACTTGTGGACTTCAACTCCCAGAATTGCCCAGCCAATATGGGGAATATCTAGGCTGCTGCCCCATCAACTCACAGTCTTTATCCAGGGACCCGTCTGGATTTATTACTTTTACAGACAGCCAATTACTAAGCCTATTCCCATTATAGCAAGAGAGTCATGTTAGTCTACATTAGCCAAAAATCAGAAGTCTGGTGGCATCTTGTCATACTTCCAACTTTAATAAAACACAGACTTTGAATCACAGAATGATAGGGCTGGAAGAGGTCTCGGAGGTCTTCTAGTCCAGCCCCCTTCTCAAGCAGAAGACCCTATAGCAGGGGTGTCCAATCTTGGCAACTTTATAACTTCTGGACTTCGACTCCCAGAATTCCCCAGCCAATGTGACTGGCTGGAGAATTCTGGAGTCTAAGTCCACAAGTCTTAAACTTGCCAAGGTTGGACACCCCTGCCCTATACTATTCTGGACAAATGCCCATCCATCTCTTCTTCAAAACCTCCAGAGCTGGAGCATCCACAACTTCTGGAGACAAGTTGTTTCACTGATGAATTGCTCTATGTCAGGAAATGTCTTCTTTATTCTAGGTTCGATAGTCCATTTCTAATAAAAATGTATTCTTGTGGTTAGATATAATCTGAATAGGTACTGGAGGGGAAGTAGAATTCAGTTTGAGTCCCATACATCACTTCTTTTGTCAGAACTTCTTCAGATTAATTTTAAGCCAAAATTGGAATGAAGATTTTAGTACTAAGTAAACAGATATACACTCATGAACTCTTGAGGAATTCCATTAAAATGTGAATCAGTCTCTTTTATAGTCTCCTATCATTATTCGATTTCAGGCAGCAGATACTATAATTCACAACCCTCCACACAACTTCAAGACTGCAGGGATGTGTTTTGTTCATGTTTTGTTTCATGTTTTTTTCTTCTTCTCTCCTGTCCTTTGCATTAATCCAGACTCCATTAATATCTAGACTGCTGTCCCATCAACCTCACAGTCTTTATCCATTGACCCTTCTGAATTTATTACTTCTACTGACAGACCAATTACTAAGTCTATTCCCATTATAGGAGGAGAGCCATGTTAGTCTATATTAGCCCAAAATCAAGAGTCTAGTGGCATCTTGTCATACTACCAACTGTAATAAAACACAGACTTAGAATCATAAAATGATAGGGCTGGAAGGGACCTTGGAGATCTTCTAGTCCAACCCCATGCTCAAGGTAGGAAACCTACTACTATCCTGGCTGTCCAGTCTCTTCTTAAAAGCCTCCAGTGATGCAGCACCCACAACTTCTGAAGGCAACCAGTTCCTCTGATTAATTGTTCTCACTGTCAGGAAACTTCTGATTTTAGATCTGTTTAGTCAATGCACATTACCAAGAAAAGGATGGATAGAAATTACATTCACAGAAATTGAAGACAGATGTCTTCCCAGAACTCTGACCAGGAATGAAGAGCCATCTACAGCAGTAAAGAATGTCCAGGCCAAAACTTTAATCCTGAATTTTAGCATTTCTGCTTTTAGAACTGAAATGTCAGCATTTTGGCCTGTTCTCAAACACCAAGACTCTTCTTAGTTTCCAAGACAAACAACATTAGTTTCTTTAAAATATCACATTATCTGAATCCTTCTCCTGAGAGAACATTAATAAAGGAGTCAACATCTTCTCTGGACAGGTGTGTCCTTGAAAGATTTGACCTTATTTCAGTACCTCTTTTTGCAGGTCTTTGGGCTTATGTAAAGAATTTATATTTGCAGAAGATATCAGAAAAAACTTTATAAAAGTTTGATCAAAGGTGAGAAGGAGAAAAGAAGATTTCTACCCCAACCAGAAGGCTGAACTTTCATGCTCGTTTTATGGCACACACCACCTTCAAATTGCCTAATTTGTTCTGATTTAAATTTGAATAAGCAAAAGACTGAAAGGGTAGAATAAACTCTTCTAGAACTGTTCTTCCCTACATTTTGTACAATTTAAAAACATTAATTTCACAAGGAAGGCAGCAAACTGGATGAATGATATCTAAAACAAGCAGAATTCCAGACAAGCAATTTACTCCCACTAAGTCAATAAATCAAAGAATCAGCCAATCAAACTAAACGCAAGGAAACGTTGGATCCTACTACAAAAATCAAATATTATTTTTCTATCTTAATGAACGTGATGCTATTAGCCAGGTTAAAAAAAAAAAATCAACAGCCCAAAGGGGCCCTTTGCAAATTGTATTTCTAAAAGGTATAATTGTGAGGTTGGAAGTCATTTCCATAAGAATGTCTTCATCAGGCAGACGTATCTAACACCAAATGTGAGAAACATATATAAGCGTAATATATAATTTTCTCCTGCTACTTACCCACCAGCCTAAATTGGATGCAAACTAATTTGCCCTCTTTTCAACTTACATATTTACAAGAAAAAGCCAGGATAATGTTTCTTCCATGCGCGAGTCACCATATTGCTCCCCCATCAATCTGAGTCCTCATTTTACCGACCGCGGAAGGATGGAAGGCTGAGACAACTTTGACCTGATGAGAATCGGCTTAACCGCCTTGCTTAGCGATGGATATTCTGGTCCTAAGTCAAGGGCTACCTGTATCACCCTCCTTTCTGAAAGGACAGCCACTTGAAGGAACAGCCGGACTGACTGTATCTCAACCGGTTAGCCACCTGATAACTCATATAGCTGACGCAGTCATGGTTTAATCCTCAGCAACCATCCCATTAGCTGCCATCTCCTTTAAGTGCAATTTCTAATTCAGCTGGGAAACTTCTAAAACCTATTTCCTCTCTTGCTGGAAAGGTTTCCTCTTTGACAATGATCTATTCCACAGCATTCCATCACAAATAACATCTGCCCCCTCCAGAAAGCCATTAAGTGGCCTAGTGGCGCAAAGAGAAACAATGTGGAGAGTCCCCCTGCAACTGATAGAAAGTCGAGGCTGTCTGTTTGCATAAAAAAGGACTAGGGATGACATGATAGTCCTCAACTTACGACCACAACTAAGCCCAAAACTTACATAATCCCGGGATACTGCAACCGTCATAAATATGAGCCAGTTGCCAAGCGGCCAGATTTGGACCACATGACCGTGAGGATGATGCAACGGTCATAATGTGAAAAATAATAAGTCACTTTTTTCCAGTGCCGTTGTAACTTTGAATGGTCACTAAACTGTTTTAAGTTGAGGACTACCTGTATTCCAGTATTTGAGGGGCTGCCACAAAAAAGACGGGGTCCACCTCTTTTTCCAAAGCACCAGAAGGCAAGAGAAGAAACAATGGATGGAAACTCATCAAGGAGAGAGGCAACCTGGAACTAAGGAGAAACTTCCCGACAATGAGAACAAATATCCAGAGGAACGGCTGGCCTTCAGAAATTGTGGGTGCTCCATCACTGGAGGTTTTTAAGAAGAGATTGGACGGCCATTTGTAAGGAAATGGTATAAGGTCTCCTGTTTGAGCAGGGGGGTTAGACTAGAAGACCTCCAAGGTCCCTTCCAGCTCTGTTCTGACTCTGTTGGCCATTTCTGATTACCATCTTGCATTTCGGAAGAAGAATGGGGTAGAAGGTAGTCATGGAATTCAGGACACGAACTTCAAATAGGGTGGATGTTTAAAGTAATATTTAATTAATGGCTGCTTTGAACTATGCAAGAGAAAAGAATATTTTAAAATGATGCTTCTCCCTGGAAAGCTTCTCATTGCGTCCCTAGGTATGGCTGTCTTGTTTAAAAGGGTTTCTGGTTACTTCTCCAGATGTTTGGCTCAAAGCGGGCCCTCGAGCAAAGAAAGGTTCCTAGGGGTGTTTTAGAGCTTCCGTGGGTCTCTTGAAAGCAAAGCGAAACATCAGGAAGGTGCACTTTGCATACACAACTTAACTGTGCAATGTTGGCACGGTCATTTCCTGGTTAGATTGTACTGGGAATCCATCAGGTGCCACTCTTGTTTGTAAGGTTGCTACGTGGGGCCCTGGACTTACAACAGTTCATTTAGTGACCATTTGAAGTTACAATGACACTGAGAAAGCTGAGTTATGACCATTTTTCACACTTACAACTAACAACAACAACAACAATAATAATAAAGTTGGAAGGGACCTTGGAGATCTTCTAGCCCAATCCCCTGCTCAGGTAGGAGACCCTAGACCAGAGGTCCCCAATCTTTTGAGCACCAGAGACTGGTTCTGCGGAGAGAGGTATTTCTGTGGACCGGAAAGGGCCTGGATTCATGTACTGCCTGCATCCTATGGATGGGGCTTTGCTTGTTTGCATGGACTGGTTTCTAGTATGCCGCGGCCCAGTGCTGGTCCACAGACCGGGGGCTGGGGACCCCTGCCCTATACCATTTCAGAGAAATGATTGTCCAGTCTCTTCTTAAAAACCTCCAGTGATGGAGCACCCACAACTTCTGAAGGAAATTGCTTTGTTCTAGGTTGTTTCTCTCCTTGGTTAGTTTCCATCCATTGTGTTTTGTCTTGCCTTCTGGTGCTTTGGAAAATACTTTGACAGCCCCCTCCCATCTTTGGAGGAGCCCCTCAGATATTAGAACACTGCTATCATGTCTTCCCTAGTCCTTCTTTTCATTAGACTAGACATAACCAATTCCTGTAACCCCTAACCATTCAGAAATTGGAGAAAAAAATTGATGTCTCTTTT